TCTTCCGGATTTCTCTCAGCTCTTTGTCCTTGAGACCGATGCTTTGGCAGTAGCAGTTGGCGCCGTTTTATCACAACAAGGGCACCCTTTGGCCTTTTTCAGTAAGAAATTCTGCAACCGTCTACAGGCTTCCTCAGTCTATGTCCGAGAGATGTATGCAATCACAGAATCTGTCAAGAAGTGGCATCAGTATTTAATCAAAAGGCATTTTCACATTTATACTGATCAGAAGAGTTTAAAGAATTTACTTGTGTAAATAATCCAGACTCCTGAAAAGCAGAAATGGGCCGCTAAACTTCAGGGTTTCAATTTCATATTTTTTTACAGACCCGGCAAATCCAATTAGGTCGCCAATGCCCTTAGCAGAATTCACACAGAGGAAGATGTTATGTTGCTGTCTATTTCCTCTCCCGTTCCACTCCTCATCGGCCAACTCCAACAATACTACAAAACCAACAAAGAAGGTCAGGACCTCATGCATAATATTTTTTCTACACAAGAGTCACAGGAATATTTCTAAAAAAAAAAGAACTTATCTACTATAAAGAGAAAATTTACATACCCCCAGTGGAGGCACTGCGCAATCACATCTTAACAGAGTTCCATTCAACACCTTCAGGAGGCCATTCGGGACTTCAACCAACTCTCGCTCTCTTATCCTCTTCATTTCTCTGGCCTGGCATCTACACGGACACAAAAATTTGTTCAACATTGTTCCATCTGTCAGAAAAATAAATATCAAACAAAAAAAACAGGGCCTGCTCCAGCCACTTCCAATTTCGAACCAAGTCTGGGAAGATTTATCCATGGATTTTATAATACACTTACCAGTCTCTTTTGGCCACACCGTGATCTGGTTCGTCTGTGATAAAATCACTAAGTTCTGCCATTTTATTGCTCTCCTACCAAATACTCAGCAAAAGATTTGGCTTTACGTTTTGCCGTAGAGATCTCGCGATTACACGACACTCTCAAATCGGTCGTCTCTGATCGCGACCCCCTTTTTCTGAGTACATTCTGGAAGGAACTTTTTCATGCTCAAGGAACGACTCTAAAATATATCACAACGTATCACCCTGAAACAGACGGTCAAACAGAAGTGGTTAATCGTTGCTTAGAAACCTATTTGCGTTGTTTCATAAGTGACCAACCAAAACAATGGTTTAAGTACTTACATCTTGCAGAATTCTGGCACAATACAGCTTTTCACAGCTCCACCAAAATGTCACCTTTTGAGGCATTCTACGGACGCACTCCACCTTCTCCTCCTCTTTACCACACCGAATCTGTATCTCTTGTGATGGTGGATCTATCCCTATAAAACAGAAATGACATCATTAACAAGTTGAAACTCAATCTATAAAATAGCAGAAATCTTATGCAAATACAAAGTAACAAGAAACGAAGTGACATTAGCTTTACTGAAGGAGATTTCGTCTTGCTGCGTCTTCAGCCTTATCGCCAGGTTACGGTCCAACGCCGTGTTTCTCACAAACTTGCCAAACGCTTTTACGGTCCCTTCAAGATTATTCGTAGAATTGGAAAGGTCGCGTATCACTTGGATCTTCCCTCTACCTCAAGGATCCACCTTGTTTTTCACGTTTCACAACTCCGCAAATTTTACGGCTTGGATCCTCCTGCTTCTTTCATTTCCATCCCACCGGAGTTTGAACATGACACTGACCAACCTTCACCCTCATACTTTTCACCTCGAACCACCACAAACCCTGACTCTCGTACTCAAAAGTCGGTAGACAACCTTGATGAGGCACATGCAAGACCGGATCAGGCAACGAAAATACAAGAACCAACCTTTACAAAAGATCTTTCTGATCCAAAGACTTTGAAGCAAATGGTGGTTTTTAGTAAGGATTCAGAAGTTCAGGATACACAGAAAACTGTCATGCAAGTGCAAGAGAAGAGAAATGACTCAAGTTTGAAGAAACAAAAGGAGAGAGGAAAGCAACAAGCTGAAGTGATTTCACAGGATACTAGCAAACCCATTTTTCCAAATAAGAAGTATACTTCCCACTTTAATGTTGGGTCTGTCTCACCACTTCCCCACGCACGCGGGGAACATGCAACATTGCCACTTGCACCTTTACAGTGTCCCAAGACCCCTTCATCACCGTCCATTTCCCCTTCTCGTGATCTGCGCCTACCTATTCCACCGTCCAAACCTGCCTCTTCACATGATGAAGATTTTTCCTAACAGCCACATGGCCCACATGCAGACCTCCTTTCCCCATATGTGACCACAGTTGTACCCCAATTACTTCCACCTAACCGTTGCACTTCCACCCTTCATAACAAAACGCCAAACCCTTGGAAAAAATCTTTTCACCCTTTTAGTCCACACACTAAGTCTAACCTTGAGGACAAGGTTGTCTGTGGGCCGGATAGTATTGTTAGTAGGCCCAAACGCATTATTACTCAACCCAAATGGATGGGGGACTATGAACTAAAATAGGATGTTGTATTAGTTTTAGTAGGAAATTTTACCCCATACCCCTACAATTATACCCATACCCCTACACTAAAAATTTTTGGACCAAAATACCCTCGTATAAATTTTTTTCGTTTGTTTACCGGAAGACTATTTGCAAGTCTTCCGGTTCACATTTTTTTTGTTCACCGGAAGACTTTTTGCAAGTCTTCCGGTTCACTTTTTTTTTGTTCACCGGAAGACTTTTTGCAAGTCTTCCGGTTCACATTTTTTTTTGTTCACCGGAATACTTTTTGCAAGTCTTCCGGTTCATGTTTGTTTTTTAAATTTTTAATTTTTTTTAATATTCAACTACGAAGATTTAATGTAAATAAATAAATAATTTGTTTTTGTTCTTCTTTCAATAAATGTTTGGTTAACTGAAAACTAGACAAAAGATAATACTAATCAAATAGTTCTGAACTTCTTTAGATTTCTCCTTCTAATTCATTGGAGTGTTGATACTGTTGTAATTCTACATGTGTAATTGTTTCAATATTTTTCATGCCTACTTATTTTTACAACATTTTAATCTTGCTTAACTTCCATTTTATTCCTAGATAAAGAATCAAGCGTAGGTCTGCATAGAAGAATTCAAATTTTTGTCTATGGTTAAAGTTTTGTTCATTTAACATGATATTTTTGGAGATGAAGATGTTTTCGACTTTCACTAACAAATAATACATTCTATTCTATGATAAAGTTTCTACTGCAATTGTAGGAGAGATTGTTGTGCCATCTTTAAATTTTGATATATAAAAAGGAGTTTTTGAAGCTTGTTCAAAAAGCTTTGAGAGATATCGAGGTTGAGGAGAGGAGTGATTTTGTGATTAAAGAGAAGTTAAAGCAGCTGAAAGTTTTTCTCAAGAATTAAACTTTTTATGTTTTTGGGAGGAAGAATTTGGAGGTGGAGGAGAGCTTGTATGTTTTTTTTAAAATAAATAACATATTAAAATATTTGTTAAGTTGAATATTAAAAAAAATTTAAAAAAAAACATGAACCGGAAGACTTGCAAAAAATCTTACGATGAACAAACGAAAAAAATATGAACCGGAAGACTTCCAAAAAGACTTCCGGTGAACAAAACAAAAAAAATATAAACCGGAAGACTTCCAAAGGACTTCCGGTGAACAAACGAAAAAAAATATGAACCGGAAGACATACTTAAAGTCTTCCGGTAAACAAACGAAAAAAATTATAATTATTTATACAAGGGTATTTTGGTCCAAAAAATTCCAGTGTAGGGGTATGGGTATAATTGCAGGGTATGAAGTAAAATGTCCGTTTTATTAATCATTTTTCTAGTTGGGCCTATTTGTTGTGGTCCAATTTAAGCTTATTCTTGAAAATTTTACCCCATAACCCTACAATTATACTCATACCCCTACACTAAAATTTTATATTTTTTTTGTTTGTTCACTGGAAGACATTTTGCAAGTCTTCCGGTTCATATTTTTTTCTTTATTCACCTGAAGATTTTTTGCAAGTCTTCTGGTTCATGTTTTTTTTCGTTTGTTCACCGGAAGATTTTTTGCAAGTCTTCCGGTTCATGTTTTTTTTTGTTCACCGGAAGACTTTTTGCAAGTCTTCCAGTTTATGTTTTTTTAAAAAAAAAAATTTTTTTTGACAGTGGTGCGCACACGAGACAGAGACAGTAGGATCTCTTCTTGCGGAATAGGACGGGGTGAGTCATCGATAATGGCTAAGAGTTCCGGTTTATACAAAATATATACCGGAAGAGTTAAACAAAGACTTCTGGTTTGCGTTAAACAAAGACTTCTGGATATCCAACAGGCTCGATTGTTGATACAGATGCATCAATATGCTCTTCTTCACCCATTCTTGATGACTCACCCCATCCTATTCCGCAAGAAGAGATGCTACCGTCTCTGTCTCGTGTGCGCACCACTACCAAAAAAAAAATTTAAAATTTAAAAAAGAAAAAAACATGAACCGGAAGACTTGCAAAAAGTCTTCCGGTGAATAAACGAAAAAAAATATGAACTGGAAGACTTGCAAAAAAGTCTTCCGGTGAACAAACGAAAAAAAATATGAACCGGAAGACATACTTAAAGTCTTTGGGTAAACAAACGAAAAAAATTATATTTATACGAGAGTATTTTGGTCCAAAAAATTTTAGTGTAGGGATATGGATATAATTGTAGGGATATGAGGTAAAATTTCTCTTACTCTTTTATATTTATTATAGGTTTCCTCCTTGAGGGAAGCAAGAAGAAAGACAATTCTAATTTTATCTTTAATATTATTTCTCAGTCTTGTGTTTTGTTAATGATAAACCCTAGATCTAAAATTAGTAGTTGAATCCTCTTTATCATGTGATATGTTAGGTTGTACGATAAGTATGTGACAGAAACAAATACTAACAAAATCATGTGATAGGGGGACCATGTAGACATAAAATTACATACTGAATGGGTTGTTGTTAAATGAGTTTGAAAATATTTATTTATTGTTTATAAATTTGAAGGAGGTTTTGATGCGAGCTATGGTAGAATGAGAGAAAATATAGTGTTGTTTGGAGATTCAATAACGGAGCAATCTTTCGAAAATGGTTGGGGTTCTTCACTCGCCAATCACTATTCTCGCAAGTTAAGCTTTCTTTCTCCTCTGGAACTCTCTCAGATAATATTCATTCCATGTATTGTAACTAACAAATCATAAAATCAACTTAATTTTCAGGCTGATGTAATTGTCCGTGGCTACGACGGTTACAACACTAGATGGGCTTTGTGCTTACTCAATCATATCTTCCCACTCGTATGTTACCTAAATTAAATACCGTTTTCTATTCTTTTGCGGCGGTTTTTGATATTTGCTTCATATTTTAGGAGTCACGTAAACCGCCGGTAGCTACCACGGTTTTCTTTGGTGCAAATGACGCGGCTTTAATTGGAAGAACCCGTGAAAGACTACATGTGCCTATTCCAGAATACAAACAAAACCTCAAAAAAATTGTCAATCACTTGAAGGTTCAATTTTGTAGCATTTAATCTTTATCATTTTCTATTAATTACTTGTTTGCGTTAACTACTAGTAAAGACATCATAAATCCCAATTACATTATCAGTTATTGATTGCAAAAACAAAAATCTGATTTCAGTCAATCTCACCAACTATGCTTATTGTGCTTCTCACGCCACCTCCAGTTTGTGAGGAAGGGCGCCGAGCATTTGCCATGTAAGATAAAGTTCGAGAAATAGTTGTAAATTGTTCAGCATTTTATATTAGTTTCATGTTTGAGTAGTTTTGATTGTGTGTTGCAGATCCTTATACGGTGATAATGCTAGTATTAAATTGTCGGAAAGAACAAATGAAGTTACTGGTAAATATGCAAAAGCATGTGTTGAGACAGCTAAGGAAATGGGTGTGCCTTATATTGATATCTGGTCCAAAATGCAAGAAACTGATGGCTGGAAAAAGAAATTTTTATGGTTTGTCGCAATCTGAACTTAAAATACATGCAGCTTAGTCATTTATATATATAGTTAAGGATGATTAAGATTGTTGTTTTGGTGTTACAGCGATGGGTTGCACCTGACAGTAGATGGAAATGCGGTAGTATATGAACAAGTGATCAAAGTGTTCAATGAGGCTGGACTTTCTGCTGATAAAATGCCATTGGATTTTCCTGACTACACTGAAATTGATCACAAAAATCCTGAGAGTTCTTTCCAGCAGAAAGATTAGTCTTTCAATTTTATAGTATTTTTGCTGAATTTTTTAGTTGCCAAGTTTTCAATACTGTTATGTTAATAAAAGCATGTTGCTTATTGCGTTTAATGTATGGGGTGTATCTGTGTATGACTTCAAATCATTCTTATGATTATTTTTTTTTTAATGTTCTCTTTATAATAATATCTAATATCAGTGATTGAAAACTAATTTTAAATATATTTTTTTTTATTTTAATACTTCATAAATTAAAATGAACTTTGAAACATCCAAATTTGCCAATTTTCTCTCTGTAAAGGTTGCCCTCTTCTTCTTTTCAATTATTCTAGCTAATCCATTAAGTGATTAGGGGTGAATAAGAGAGAGCTCTCTAACCAGGCATAAATTTTAATAATCTTAGTTCCTTACTAAATTTTTAAAGTTTTTTTACTTACTTGAAAAAAAATATGATTTTGTGCAGTTAAAATTAAAGCGTGTCTACTTAATATGCTAATTAAAATAAAATTATCAAAATTTAAAGTTTAAACTTGAAAGTAAAAGTTTAATGTTTTTTTTTTTACATTAAGCAATATATCCAAATACAACACTTACAAGATACTTCTAGAGGAAAAAACAAATACATTAGTTTGCAGATATTCTCGAATAAAATATGTCACGAGGAGGAGATGAATAGTTTAATGGGTATTTGAGAATAAAATCAATGGATATTAAAAATTTGTGTCCGTAAATATTTATATTTATTAATAAATTATAAAAATTATTTAAATATTATTTGTTAATTATACTATTTATACTATGTCTTTTCATTTTCTTAAAAATTAATTTTATCACATTTCTTTTTTTTTTTAAGATTTAAAAAATAAATTCCACATTTCTTACAAATTTTATTTAGTGAGTTCATATTTAAATTTCTTCTATATTTCATAATTAAGTAGTTTAACAAATTCATTGTCCAACCAACTAATATTGTCCTTTCTCTGTCCAATTAGTGACTCATTTCCTACTCCTCATTGTCTGCTCTACCACCATAACTCACAATCACAATATCTTTCATTTGTTTTGGTTAAAAATAAAATATATGAATATTATATTGGGATGTTATTATGTTTTGATGAAGAAAAAAAATTTAATGTGATGAAATTTTGTTGTTAAATTGAGAACGAATTGTATGGATGTTATATGATAATAATTTTTTGTGTCTTTTTAAGAAGTTGAAAAAAAAATTTCAAAATTAATTTTAAAAAAAAAATGTTATCCTTGAGTATATGTAAATATGTGCAAACACTTTAAAATCCGCGGATTACCCGCTTAGCGGATACCTGCAATAATATGAGACGAATACAAATATTATATTTATTTAACGAGAGGGACACAAATATCATACTATCCGACATGTGGATGTCCATTTACATCTATAGATATTCCAGGCACTCCTATGAATAAAATTATTATTTTTAATTAATTTAATAATTAATATATTTGATCTATATATAAATTTAAAAGTTGATGTATAAATCAGCTCACATCGCTTTGTTTCTCCAGAAAAATAATTGTTTAACTATTTCTTTTTGTCTTAATCCTCCTATTTTTAGATAAAACGGGACTATAATTATCTGACATTGAACTGAAATGTAAATAAAATTTAACTAAAATCATTTCAATCAAATTTAATATAAAACAAATAAATATTAAAGTGATGAAAAGAAAGAAAATATGTTTCGATATATTTAGAAATTAGAGTTGAAAAACAACAAACATGTCGACAAAAGACGCCAGAGCCACAAAGGCACGTTCCACAGACGGCGAACCCTGTTTGACAGTTCACATGATTCATGTTTGGTCGATTTAGCTTGCGGATCTGTTTATTAATGTTAGAATATCATAAATATCTTTTATGTTAACTTAGAGATATACTCTAAATTAGTATAAAAGATATTACATAATATAGTATATGATCTGACCTGATCAGAAGGGGATCACGAGCCGGCCACACTCTGTTGGACTACTACGTGCTCACCGGTGCTGAGGAGAAAAAGGGGGGTGTACCTGCAAAACACTCTGATGCCAAAGTGAGAAGTTGGGCAGAGCGATGGCGAAGTACAGAAAGAGGGGTAAGAAGTGTGTTACCTGACCCTCTTGAGGAAGAGGGTATTTATAGAGAGACCCCAGCGCTGGGCCAACGGTCATTTGAGATGGGCTGGATGACCAGGCCCAACCCTAATGACTGTTAGGGCTTACGTGGCGTAGTAAAGACCAGGACGTGGTCTTCGCCCTAGTCCAACCGCTCCTAGATCTCCGGAAAGTGAGTTTGACCTGCTCTTTCGGAGGTGGGCAGTTGGTTGATGACGTGTCCCCGCGGAGGGGAGCACGTGGAGAACGCGTGCCGGGCACGTTGTCCTCCCCGCGGAGGGGAGCTCGCGAGGTTCGTCGGAGGGCGATGTTCTCCCCGCGAAGGGGAGCGCGAGGATGGGGAGGAACCAAAGGCCTCGCTTCGATGCGCCGTGGTGTGTCCTGTTCGGCCGATTAGAGGGGGCGTCGAGGTGCTGTCGGACGCGTCGCCTGTGGCCGGTGGTGCGCTCTGCCCGTCTGGCAGGACGCGCGTGCCCGGCACGGCCAGTTCACTCACTGGGCCGTGCGTGTTATTGGGCTGGACCGAGGTCGGGCCCAGACCAGAACAGTATATATAATATTTTAAGTCAACGAAAAAAGATATTATAAAAATTTACAATATTTTTATACTAAAAATTAGAAGATATTTTAAGAAGAACAAACTAACGCGGGACATGTCTTTGATGTGCTTCTGATATGTCAATGTATTGTGGCTATTGAGAAATAGGCCATGGCTAGAGACGATTTTAGTGAAAGAACTTTTCAGATGGCCACTCTATAAGCCATTTTAGTATAGGCGCGACAAGCATTGCAGTACCGACAATAGAGGAAGAACATGAGCGTCAAATATATGTAGTAGTTATCTTTTTCTTTCTATATTTTGATATTTGACATTTTGTATTGTGGTTTGTTATGGTACCGATTATGAAATTTGAAATTTTTACATTTGATATTTGAAATTTTGACATTTTCGCCTTCATATATACATGTAGTAGTTCTTTTATTTTGATATTATTATTGAATGAAAAACGTATATGGTTTATTGTGCAATTGATTTATAAATGACTTCCAATGTAATTAGGGTTTATTAAAAAATTTCAAATCTCATCTAACTTGCCGCCTATAGGTGTAAAATATTGTCGTGGAGTTAATTCGAGGATTGGAATCCAAAACTGTGTTTTTCCCATTGTAAGAAAACATAGAAAATACGCAGGCAAGTTTAATCTGAAGATTGAAATATGAACATTTTTTTTTGGAAAAAATAGGGTGTCAGTATGATGAATTGGTTTGGTGTATAATATACACTTCAAAATTTTTGAAATTCAACTAAACAAAGGTTTTTGAAATTTCCATAAGGTGTATGATCACTACATTGGGTGTAGTGAACATCGCCATGAAATTAGCATATATTCTAACTTTTATATTGCCCTTATAAAAGCCCAGTCACAAATAAAATGAATTAACAATTGAGGGTGAGTAAGTGATGAGTTTAAAAAGAGCCCTAGAGTATAAACACACAAAAGGTAACAATTTTACTGAATACACCTTTGTATGTGGTATTTTTTTGTCTAGTAGATTAATAGTTAGAATTATACCCTTTAAAAGGGAGTAAGTGGGATATCATGAGTTTAAACCTGTATTCAAACAATCAAATATTCGTGTACATTTACTAACTGAGTTGCCTTAATGAGACTAGTATTTTGTATTCAATAAAAGAAAAATGTTTGATGTAAACTATTTCGTTGTAAACTCATGTGATACTTGCTTAATCATATGTTACTTTAGTTTGAGAGATGATTAAGTCATATCTGTTATACCCTAATTTTTATCCCTAAGATCCCATCCTTTTTTTTGCACTTTTGCATACAAACAAGATCACAAGCTTGATTGCTTTCTTACCTTCTCATCTCTGTGTTTGCTTTTGCAGAGATCATCAAGAACTTCTTTGTGTATCTTTTTCCTTTATGTTTATATGTTTTATGTTTCACTAATTACTAATCAAAATACCAAAAATATGTTGTGTATCCTTTTGTTTCTTTGCAAAGTAGGGCTATATCATCAAACCATGGCCTCTAATATAAAATTACAAGGTTTTAAGCATCATTCAATCTCATTTTGATCAAAAATATATCAAGGTTTAGTAGTTTGTCTCTCAAGAAAAGTCAAAGATTCATGTGTTTATTTCCATGCCTTCATCAACAAGTTACCTCAATATTTGGTCAATTTAATTAAAGGACATTCAAGGACACATTATTTTAAGTTCATATGATTATCCATGTGCTTTGAAATTTAAGGAAAGTCCAAGTTTACAAGTTGATTCAAGGAAGTTTGACCTAAAAGTCAACATTTCAAGTCAAAGTTCAAAAGATCACAACTCCTTCAATTCTCAATATTTTTCAAATGCTTCTTTTTGCATATGACTCTTCTCAGCATCCTCTTCAACTTCTCTTTACATGACAAGTGCCAATTATGCTTGAAGGATCAACAAAAGTTTGAGGACATTATAGGTCATTTGTGGACTTAGTGAAATTTGACTATTTTAAAGTGACTTTTTCTCAACTTTCAAGAATCACAACTTCTTCAATTTTCAACATTTGGAGCTCATTATCTTTTCACAATATGATTTGTGATACCCTCTACAGTATTGCTTCAATGGTCAAAGTCAAGTTGTGCTTGAAAGCCCATGTAATTCATTGATACATTATAGGTCATTTTCAGCCATTTGTACTTAGAATATTTCAAGTTTGGTTTGCCAGATTTTTGTGCCAACTTCAACATGACATGAATTTTTTCTCAAGCATCCAAATGAAAAATTTATTGTCATGTTGTGATCTTTCTTACAATGTTAACAAATTGCAAAAGGAATAGAATCAAAAAGCCTTGTGTACAAGATGCCCCATTGAGTT